GAACGTGGCGAAAAGGTGGTAGGGATTCACACGTTACATTCGTCCGTGGAGAATATGTATATTGTTATTCTCGCGATAGATGTGAACAGTTGACCGTGGTTCGGTAAATAGCGAATACATTCGGTACGTGTTAAACCCGTGTTTCGGAATTTCGACTCTCCCTCGATACTCGTTTCTCGAGGGAGCGACGAATACGAATAAAGTGGCGCGTGCCTCATGGCGCCTATCGCTCGCACGTGTCTTTCGTAACTATTTCCGCCCACTTCCGCGAACACGTTATTCTCGGCCGAGTTTATCCACGACTTTCTGCCAAATAGGTCGTGCCAAGGGGAAGGGGAGTACTTCCCCGTCGCGCTTAATTCGATTTTAACCCTATCGTTATTATAGGTGACTATAATCGCTCATCGTTGGACGTGCAGTGTATATCAAAGGTGACTATACAGTCATCCAACAATTTACCATTAAAATTCCTCGTCAAGTTTTGCTTCAGCTTGATATCCTTAATTGACACTTAAAGGACATGTAACAAAAATAGTTATTTTAGGGATGAGATCATCCTCGTGGAAAGTCTAATTTATTGAAAAAAAATATTAAAAGATTCTCGAGTTATTTTCCTGACAAGAATAAACAAAAAGTATCATTTTTGTTACTGAATCCTTTTTCTTTTTCTATATTTATATTATTATTCACTTAAATCGTTAATTTTTAGAAATAGAACCTCGGAGTGTGCCGAATAAAATCTATATCAATCATTAATTATTTCAATATATATCATATATATAATACACGATATCTCACGCTTATCTCCTTTCCTCTTTATCTCCTTTCGTCCATATTCAATCGCGACTGCGAACGCTTAACATCAATATTTTATTCAATTTACGAAAAAAGTAAGTATGTACAACATACCAAACTTTATGATGAGCAAAAGGATTAATCAAACTGTCAAATTCTCTCCCCCTTTCTCGAAAGAAAAGACGAAAGAAGGAAGCGTAAACTAAACAAGAATTTTCGCGATTTGTTTCAGGTGGGTCCGGCAGGGGGGAGGGTGAGGCAGGCTCGAACGAGGTTCCAACTGGGAGGNTCCCCATCATCTGCCGCCGCCACACGGCCAATACGGTACGCCGCCCACGCGTCATACCACCATGGATCTCGAGGTGAATCTTTGCTCACGCAACATGTAAATATATATATATATATATATTGACATCTTATTGTTTGCTCTCGTTATTACATAATTTTTCTCGAGTCTTTTATACGGCGTGTTTTACCCCATTTCCTTCGAACGCGTTCTCCCGAATCTTGACAAAGAATCGTTTGACGTTTTCTTCCGTCTTTTTTTTTTTTTTCTATATTATCTTTCTTCCAGTTTTTTATCTTATCTCCGTTTTATCGAACTGCAGGGGCTACGAAAGTTGTAAATTATCTAGAAGAAATTTATATCTCCATTTTTTTTTTTTTTTTTTTTTTTTTTGGGACTCGATCGACGATAATGTTAATTGTATAAATTACATACACCGGTAAAATTTAATCTATCCACCAACCACCCGTTTTCCGTGCGTTAAACCCAAGCTGGTTAATCGATTAAGGGGGTGGAGTCTCGCGAGACGCGGGGAAAAGTAGCCGTAAATCGCGTTACCGTTCCGGGAATACAAATTAGCGGATCGCGTGCGACGATGATATACGTAAAGGACGATGTTCGCCGAACGATGTATCCGGCAATGACTTGAACGGATATATAGTAGTATTCCGAGGTCAAGAACCGAGCATAACGAAGGGAAGAGGTTAATTAAGTCCCATATACACCTACGCCGTCCTCGTTTCTCATCTTTCCGTTGCCACGTCTCGTCGTTCGAACGTTTGGAACACATGCGCTCATAGCGCGCTTTGTCTATTTTAGGGCGCAGCTTTCCTGCGTTCCTGTTTATCCAGGTTCCGTGGATTTCAACCGAGAAAATGGATTCCGAGAAATTAAACCAGTCGTTAGCCCCTGCGAGTCGTTCCTTAATCGTATATATTTTACCTAAGTAGCTTGGTGGCGTACACGTGGCACTTAACCGTTATCGTGCACGGTCACGCCTTCCTGCTCGTTTTTTCTCCCCCCCCTCCACTTTTTTCGATTATATTACTATATTGGTCCTTTTTTTGCCTCTTCGTCCGTGGACTCGACGAAACGCGTTACCGAATTATCTGCGTCGTTTTTATAAACGCGAAACGACGCAATAAACGCGATCGCCAACTTTGGACGAAAGAATATTTTTAAGAATTTTTCGAGAGAGTTGAAAAGAAGAAGGAAAAGAGAGGCGGGAAAGAGTTGGCGATCGCGAAAGATTTTTGCAGAAGAACCGCAAGAGTCCAGGCCAGCCTTCGAACCCACCAACGCAACGACCACAGAGAGTGTTCTCCTTCGACCATGCCTCGGTTCGATCGATCGCGATCGCATTGTTTCGCTCTTACCTTTTCACAGTGCTGCATTTCCAGCAAACCCTTTTTTCTGCTCCATGCATATATACGTCTAACTGGTTTACTTGTGTGTGTGTGTTTCCGTGTACCTGCTGCCGCCTAACAGATGGGGACCAAGTCTCGCCAGAGAAAGGTAATTCTTTTTTTTTTTTCTTTTTCTTTTCACCTTTTTTGTACACGTTTCTCCCTTTTTCTCTAAGCGCTTGGATATCGTTCCGATTCGCACGATGGCATGCATCCGTTTTTTCATCGTTTCTCATCGTTTTTTCTCTATTATATCGTCGAACGTACGATTGTTCTCTTTTTTTTTTCTTTTTTTTTTTCTTTCTTTCTTTCTTTCTTTCTTTTGTTCGCGTCGAATTCGAACGATCGTTTAAACAGAAACAATAAACGAATAGAGAATGGACGAAACTTCCGCGGTTATACTGACAAACACTTTTGATTGTTTCAGTCGCCTCTTCCGCGCGGGTACCCACCTCCCTCTACGACGATGTTGTTCGATGACGACCCGGGCATCATGTCCGAGGTGGAGACATCGAGCACCGGATTTCGACGGGGTGGCAAGCAAAGAAGCAGCCTCCCCGTCGTACGGACCCCCAGCAAAACTCTGGAGCGACCACTAGGTAACTCACGACCCGCAATAGAATTAGGAGCGTCTTGTTGCTGCCTCGCTGCTCGATGCCCTTGTCGGACATTCCTGACGAAACGATGCGTTTCTGTGGACGATTCCTTAGGTCTAGTGTTCCTGCAGTATAGGAACGAGACGAAGCGGGCGCTCCTACCGAACGAAATCACTAGCATAGACACCGTTAAGGCTCTCTTCGTACGAAGTTTTCCGAAGCAACTCACTATGGAATATCTAGACAGCCCCCACGTCAAGGTTTACATACACGATAGCAACAAGGATATGTTCTACGAACTCGAAGATCTCAGGTATGTCAAGTATTTCCTTTTAAAATATTTTTTCATACAAATAACGATACAATAGAATACATTCAAACTTGTAATACGATTTTTTAGATCTCAATTTGATAGTAAAAATCATAATTAAAATTTTTACTTTGCAATATGTCAATTTTGTTAATTTTTACTTGAATATTTTAGAAATTGTTGATAATATATATAGAAAAATATTTCAGAGGATTTAATTTCTATTCTCCTCCTGTTTTCCAATTAATTATACGTTTACTCTCTTATGAGTACACCTTTATTATACACCTTTTAAAAATTTCAATTTTCATTTGAAATATTTTTCAAATATCATCATTAGTTTCCAACATTCATTTTTTAATTTAAATGGAATATTTTGCACATATTATATATACGACGCTCCTGTTTTATGCATCCCAGTCGATTCTCAAATTATACTAAAAAATTCTTCATTTCGATTCCAGATCGCATCTGAGAGACATCCGAGACCGAAGCGTCTTGCGACTATTCGAGAGCACTGACGGTGTGACAGGGATGCCAGGACCATTGGGGATACCAGGGACAGGAACGGGACTACCCCCTCACTGGGAGGACCAGAGCTACTTCAGCGAGCCGGAATTCGACAGCGAATACCAACATCAGCATATTCACAAGAGCAAGGTAACCAGCTTCCAAACGTTTGCAAAATTTATTGTCCCACCCTCTTTGGAAGGACTTGATCGATTCTCAAGTAATAAAAATTTTCAAAATTACGTACGATGGTTACAAAATAAATATTTGCACATATTTTTATTTTTTTTTATTTTTTTTTTTTTAAGGAACTTTTTTTTTATTTTCGTAGCATCGAATATTTTTGTATTCATTGATACAATAGTGGACAAAGGTATAAAAGTTTTTTAAAACGAGATAACTTTCTTAAATTAGGACAAACGAGTTGTATGAAAACTTGGAAAGTTTATCATATGACGTATAAAAAAAAATCTTGAAGAAGTTATAATTGGTCGAAATTACAAAGAAGATCGGTAAAGATTACTTTTTATAAATTTTTTATCTGAACGTAATTATGAAAATTAAGAGATTTTGTAGATTTTCATTAATTGTATACGTATATTGAAAATTTTATTGAAATAAATTAATGTTGTTATGACTTACAAACAATTAAAAATGATGAAAATTGCATTTTTTTATATATATAATAAATTTAAAGATTTTTACATTTTTCTATATTTGTCATTTGTTTCTGCATCAAACAGATTTTGATGAAATTTTTAACATATATATATATATATATATAAATTACATAAATTTACAAAATTTATATTTAAAATTTGCATTAGGCTCAGATAAAAAACTTGTAAAAAACGACCTTTATTATTTTTGTTATATAATTCTGATCAGTTGTAACTTTTTCAAAAAATTTTTTTATACATCATATAGTAAATTATCTTTTTGCTTTTTAAAAAAGTTCAAAATTCGTTTGATCGAATTTTAAAAAAGTTATTCTGTTTTAATAAATTAATTAAACTTATACTTTTATCCGTTATTGTAAGTACTATTAAACGAATACAAAAACTATTAATTACAATCGTATCCCGATTTATGTTTTCTCGGCTTGCATTTTTTTATTTATATCGTTTTTGGATTAACTTTAAGACCGATTAAAACATAAATGAGAAACGACCATACTTAAACATTTTTCGCATGTTAATCGCACATTCGAATTTATTACGCGTCTATTTACATATTATCGAAAAACGCGAGAGTGAAAATTCTAATTAATAAATACTACATATTTACTTTTGTAACCGCCGTATTACGTCCTTACATAATATTTTCGTTTGATACGCCGTCGGTCGTATTATATACGTAAACTTAAATATATACCTTCGGTGACTAACCCTGGGGCGAAGCTACTGTAAATAATAAATACGTCTCCGAACGCGATCGGAATCGCTTTCCCTGTAATCGATATCCATCCGTTCTATCCGACGCACGTGTAATCGCGCTAACGCGTTTGGAGATCCGTTGGCCTCGGGTTCACAGCACGTACGAAAGATCCTGTGTCAGCGATAGCGGTCGACTACCGAGTGAGACTGCGATAACCATAAATCTTCGCGGGGATTGGTCGATGCCGCGCGAATGGATCCGAGTGGACCCGAACCTAGCGTACGATAACTTACGAAGTCGTCTCCTCTTTCGCTCGGTCGATCGTCTTTGTTAGAACGCCTTGCACGTTTGCACGGCCGGAATGTGTACCGCGCCGGAATATAACTTCTTAGGGACCGATCTCCATCCCATAATCAAGGCTTTCGCGAACGGTTCATCGGCGCAACCGTCGCAGATATTCATGATCATTCTTACTTCCGCTTCCGCCGGTTCTCTTTCATCGTCCTTGTCCTCGTATTTCGGTAAGTGAAGACCGAAGCTCGTTAGTCCCGAAAAGTATTCGTCCTCTAGTCCTTGGGATATATAGCCGTCGTTTAAGAGCAGACCGTCGTCCAATTGCACTAGACCGCGTTTCTTTTTGGGAGAATCGCGTTTATCCACTGATTTTAAATCTTCGACTTCCTCTTTAGGCACGAACGTTACCTAAAATATAATCGTTTGAATTTATTTTAATTTAATTTAGCGGAATTTAATTGGCAATTTAATTGGATTTTAACGAAATATTTTTTAACTAATTAAATATCGTTTATCCCATAGATAATCGGTAAATTTTTTAATACATAGGAACTCTAGTTACTTTCATTTGTTATATCTTAAACATATATTATCCATATATCGATAATATATCAACATAGTGACGATTCTAGATAAAGAGGTATAACACCATGTTACTTATCGAAAACCTACAATTTCACGAATATCAGTACATCGTATTCCTTACTTTTCCATCCGAAAATTTTTCCTCGGATACTCCACTTTTCTCTATCCCCCTCTTCTCGATCGTGGATTTTTCTGAGACCTGGATCACTGTCTCTTCAAAACTCGAATACGATTTTTCTTCCTCGGATTCAACTCCCAACGAATTTTCCTCTCTCTTAAAGAGATTGCGATACGGACTGTCCGCCATGCTAGCCGAAGGCAAACCGACGGTAGACTGCAGGTTCCCGAAGAAATGGGTGGATTGCAAAG